GAGGGGCGGAGGCCTCCCGTCCCCTACTGTTCCTGCCCTTATTGTGCCCTATCCAGGCCGTTTTCCGACCTCATTCCCGCACAAATGGTATCAGAGGGGGCGTCGATTTCAAACCATGTGCAAATCTCCGAAACCATTTTTTCGTGAACAGTGCCTTTAAGGTACCCCTTTTTATTCAAGGAGCGGAAGTATAGGTTGGGAATAGTTCATTGGTAGTGAACAAAGCGAGAAAATTCGCCGACTTTGAGAAAAATAAGATCCCTCAAATGTTGGGAAAATAGAGGTTGGACGAGATTGCCACGACGAAATAACATGAAAGGGGTAATCGGACGAGGTTTCAGTTGTTTCAATTGCGCAAAGAGCTGAATACATCAAGCCAAAACTAAACAAAACTGCTGTTCATTGTCGCTATGGGTCATGTTGCTGTTGCTTGGGCCTCCCACATTCGTTCTCTTGTGAATGTGCAGCCTGTGCAATGCCGGTGAAACTCGTCCTGGCATGAATACCAGACATGCCTGACTCCGCGATAAAGTTATAAAAAAAAGTGGCGATTTTGGACGTCTTCCTATCATAAACACCACAAAACAAGCCATCCCAAGTCCGCCTAAGAATACAGGAGCGGTCTGGGGCTCGGTAAGATGGTTTCTCAAGACGAAGAGGCTTCTTGATCACGATGTCCATTTAATTATTACCTGTAAGCGAGTTCATGAAAAAGGTATAAAAACCAACTGAATGGAGACCTTGATTGAATTGGAGGTGAAGATCCATCATTCCTTAGCTAGAAGGACCTCGGGCTGTGGTGCTCCAACAAGATGTACTCTGCAGTTCGCAACAGTAACGTGCTCCTTCTGCCATTTATATTGTTCGGTGGCTATCAAGTTGTACTTCACGATCAATACAATCGAAGTTACAGAGGGGTATCAATCTACTTTAATTCCTGGAATTGACGGATCTAATTTGTAAGGACTACGGTCCCATCACTCACTGTAGACGATCTGACTGGCACCTGCTGGGCATCAACAAAACCCAGTAAAATGGGTTTGCTTTCCCGCAGTAAGGATTTAAACCCTATTGGAAACATCTGTGGAAACATTTTCAAACAGATCTACGTTGATGGCAAGCAACAGAAGAGCGGTGAAGTACTATCGAGAGGTTGTAATGCCATATGGAATCTGGTGAGCTTCAAAAGTCACGCACCGTGTGGGGGGTTCTATCGGGGGTTTTATCGCACCCCTTAGCGAGGCGGCTTCACTGAATACACAAATTGGTATTGTTATTACGTCGAAATATTAGACCGTTAGTTCAATAAAGTGGTCCACCCGAAAAAAATCGAATGGCAGACGAGTTTGGTAGTGCTATCGTTCTCGCGACACAGGGAAAAGATCGAATATGATGGAAATATGTCGTCGTTTTGGACGACTTTGTATTTGATGGGTATTATAACAGTATAGACGATGTTTGGTGTAAACCGTTATATCAACAGAGCAAAGAATGAGATGTCATAGTTACAGCAATATGCAAAAAGCGGCCCTAATGCACAGGGTCATTGATGTGTGTTGAGAACGAAAGATTGAAAAGCAAACTATCGTCGGGTTGATGGGACACGTGGTGGGCCCACACTGAAGTTTAGTTGATCCCATTTGCTGAAGTTCTGTGGGCGATTCGAATGTGTGAGCCGGATATGTATGGATGCGGCGCAGTTCCATTGGTTGGGTACGGTTATAGTCGTCTGAAGTGAGACAACTATCAAAGATTTGCCGCGCGAGGGAACTCGGGAACCTCTTGGTGGTATGGTAGGAGCGATGAGACCATAGAATGAAAACAGTTCGAGAATACAAACACTCGGTTCAACATACACAAGACGATGTCAATGAAGACTGAATTATGTGGGTTGAGAAAAAGATTTTTGGAAAGTTCAAAGCTCTTTCGAAACGAACCGAACAAAATAATTAATAACACATGCTTTCCCTTCACTTTACTGTTCTTGATTCCGCAGAAAGTATGGCGGCGAACACAGTTAAACACTCTGATGAGAAATGCAGGAACTTCATTTGTGGAAAATGCTGGTGAAGAGCTAAGACAAGTATGAAGATTTAGACGGACACACAGCAGGCGAGAAAGCCTTTCTCACAGTAACCTTAGGGTGAAATGAAATGCAGAAGACGCAGAATTGCACGTTCCATTTTACGACACAACTTTTTTATTTTCGTTCTAACTCGATCCTCATACGATGTACGGAAAAGACCTCAAGCAAGCCCGAGGAAGGGGTCTGGGGTCGCTTCCAATTGCGTTATAACCAGTCGCTTAAGCCAGAATTTACGGCAGCACCACTACTTCCTGAAGTGTTGGTGATTTTGTTGGGGGAAGAGAGAAGGGTGCTCAGTTTTTTTAACTCCTTCTTTTGTGCTATCTCAGAAGGCCAGTACCCAAATAACCAATTCACTTATATAGGAACTTTTTGGTAGGCTAGAACTCCATCCACCCTGGACACCCCACCATTGAGGTTAGGCAGGTATGCTCATTATGGCTCGGAATCATTTTTTCGTACCGTTGAAAGTAATTCAGTGAGCACCTCCCTGGTTGCTGAATTCTGACCTTTGACGTCAGAAACGCCGAGTATAACGGGGGAGGGGGTCTTAACAAATTGGCACCACCCACGCATTGAATGATATTCGATAATAACGAATTCCTCCATCAAATATTCGTGGACACCCAAAGAAAATTGCGACGTCATTATCCGATATGCCGCGCGAAGCCGTTCGCCGCCGGTTGATTAACTGCCGCCCCGTTGGGTACCGCTAAATCAGGGATTGATGAGAAGTTACTGCATCCAAAGTAGTAAACATTGAAAAGCAATGAACTAGTGAAAGGGAACGTTGACGACAATTAGATGTAACGTGGAGATCGGCCAGTCAAGAAATCGTCTTGTAAATGGCGAGGACTGATAAGCATGGAAAAGACCGATGCTATGGAAAAGATTTATACACTGGACGAACACTCAGTGTCGTTTTATCTGACATTGGCTGGACAGCCAACTGCAGCCCCCATATAAAAGTGCCCTAGCATGCCACTCATTCGATCGCCACGTCAACGCTTATTTCACATTTCTACTGGTGCTTTACCACCTACGTTGGATGGGTTTTTTTGACACGAATTCACCAATGGATATCTCCCACTGGTTAGGAGTGGAGATGGGTGGTTCCCATAGGCGATACCTCAAGAAATCTGCCCGCCCTGGACCAGCAAAGCTATCTTCTACCACTCTGGGATCAGTTAGCTGGAGACAATCACGTCTTGGATGCTTAAATCTTTGCTTTGTACACCGGCAGGCCTCTACAAGTCACTGTTTCACTCAAATGTCAAGTCAGAACACCACTACGGTCCCCGTGTGATAGAAAAGTGCATGGGACATCCCTACATGAGACTGACCAATGCCAAAAACGCTATCCTTCGAAAAATAGTCAGTTGTCATTACGGCCCGGACAAGATGGGCATCGGGCACGTCTTGGTCCACAGTTAGCCCCACAACCTGACTACCTCCCTCGTAATGGCGCATTTTGATATCGTTATGCCCGCATAAAAGCCTGTCTAAACGATGCAATGGCAGATGCCGGATGAATCGTTTACAACGACTGGCTGTGCTCCTGAGCAGTTACAGTTCAATCTTTCCCATTTCCTAAAAAATGTAGGAAGCTTGTGACGCTCAGTACAAAGCCCGTCGCAGTGGGAGACCTTGAAAGCTGACTCTGTAAGACAATGAACGTGAAAGCATCACCTGGGTATGCTGAAAAACCCAGAGATTTAGTTCCTGATGGTACATATGTATGAGGCTGTATTAGCAAGAAATATCGCTCGATTCTCGTATTGTTCACGGAAAGGCTGCCCACTCAAACGAGTGAAAAATGAGAGAAGCATTGGAAGTGGATAACTATGGCCATCGATCAAGTAAGGGAAATGGCCATGAATAACCTCAAAATATGAGACCCACAGCGATGCGGAGAGGATGGTGGTAATTGAGTTGAACATTCCCCGGGTCCCGGACAGAAAACTTAGGTCGTTTCTCCCTTCCAACACACAACAGTAATCACTGCCTAAGTATCTCAGGAGTAAGAGGAGAAGCTTCTCGCTGTCCTTTCCGTTTTTCCAGGAGAGTTGGGAGACCCGCTTTCGGAAAAAAGATCAATCCAGAGAGGAGGAACTGGAAAACGAAGAAGAAATTGCGACAATCGAAGCAAAAAAAGTGGAAAATAGAATCATCGCTGAGGGCCGAAAAAGAGGAAGAGATAAGACCATCTCAAGATAACACGAGAGATAAGAACGATAAGAAAAAGCCTATTGGAGTCTGGGAGTCTTTCTGAAGGTGTAAGGGTCGAATACCACTCCAGGTGATGAATTCCAGGTGAAAGTCCTCCCACTCAAAGGATAGGGATAAGCAAGGTGAAGAAGGGCGGATAACGAAAGAGTTGGCACATTCAGTGCTCTGAGCTGATCGAACCCACAGAGATGACGGCTTTTTCAGTACCTCCCTGGGGGAGAGTATTGATCTGCAGGAAATTTTCCCTAAATGATGATGAAATGATCCCTTTTGAAAATGCAACGCTTGTACTTTGAAGGAGTGGGAGATTCTAAAGTGGGTGAAAAATGATTTTGTCATGTAACACTACCTCATTTGCGACAATTGTCGCATCGGAGTCCGAATGGGAATCAATCGAAGGCTGTGGGCGAAGTGTTTCGCTGTCCGAGACATCGCTGCCCTCCCCGCAGTCGGTGATGTTCATAGTCTTGGTGATAGTCATAGTACTTCTCTTGTCATCGTGGCCATGGCCCGAGGCAGTGTTGTGGGTAGGGAGCTCTTTGCTACGACGAACATGTATCTCTGTACCAAGGTCTTCACTGACGACCCGGTGCTTGGTCTCCTGAAGAACGGCAACTTATTGAACCCTCACAAAAAGGAATTCAGTGAAATCAATTTGGATAACTGGTACATAACAAAAATGAAAGTAATCTGAATGCTCACATGGCGATAGGGGTCATAGGCGGGCTCTACGACGTCCGAGTAGGAGCTGACGGGCGTATGAAATACGGCATCGGAGAGTTGGTCGACTGAGAGGTGGTCCACCATTGAGCGTCTGGACGATGTCATACTTCTGATACTGCCCTCTGACTGAAGCCTTGGCGCGATCGGCTGCACATCGGCATCGCACACCAGGGCAGTCGAACTCTCGCTCATTGCATCCTCGAAGTCACGGACTAGGTGATGGTTGCACTCAAAAGGAGCTGTGTTTTGGAACTTGGGCTCTCCACGACTGTCCAGGGAACCGTAACGATAATGCTGTTGATTCAGAGAAGGTTCGGAACCCGAATGGACAGTGACAGTGTTATAAAGTTTTTCCTGAACATCATGCACTGAGTTGGACATAGCTTGAGTTAGACGGTCAAGCATAGGGTATTGGCTGAGCTCCAAGGGGCGACCGGTGTGGATGAGGGTTTCGGTCTCAGTCGATCTGATCTGGGCGTAGTTTGACTCTTCTTTGTGAGGTGCAGGAGCTACATGAGCCTCCTTCTCCATATGCATCCTCTCATTGTGGAAATGCAGCTCCCCATAGGAACGTGAAGGTGTCACAACGGGTGGGTCGCTATGCTTCCTTTTCCACTCAGAAAGATCGTGGACCGAACGACTCAGAGACGATTTATAGAAGCTGTTACTGTAACCCTCGACAAAATGGTTTAGGAATTGATCCGGTGATTGATAGGACAAATCACCACTTGGCTGTCTTCCAAAGAATCGATCAACGTCTGCTGCTGCTTTTAGTGATAAATCACGAATGCCTTCGAATCCATAAAGATGCTCTCCAATTCGGATTATTGCTCCTTTTTCTTCGACGCTTTTGGACATCTGTAAGAGGTCATTTTTACGTCACTTATTTACATTTCCTATGTTTTTCAAACCTGCCTGCATTCGGATATCTTTCAGATGTTCCCAGTTCCGTTTGGCTGGGGGGAGCTTTCGGGCTAGGTGTGCACATTCCTCTTTGTCATTTTCGATTAGGTCCACCAGGCTGCTTTCATCTACCGTTTCCGTGTATTCAATTTTTGCACATACACCACTGGAAATGAATGTGTCATTTGATTTCAATAAAGTACATACCTATGAAGCCATAAAGGGCAGGCCGCTAAACCGATGGGGCACGTACATATGTGTGCTTGTTGCAAATCGATTGTAAAAAAAGGAAAATCTATTTCAACTTGGAGCCCAGGTCCCAGCAGCCAGCTTTCTGCCACAGTCATCTTCCTGAAAATGTGAAAACACTATGACTCACTCAGTGTCGTCCACTAGGGACACTTTCGGTTCACTACGTATACGTTTTTCCATCGAAGGCGGTGACGACTTCTGGAACGAGAGGATGTCATGGAATTTGAAGTTAAGTAATTCAAGGTTCACGTAGAAATAGCAAAAACTAACCGAACGATGATAGCGCTGCTCCATGAAAACCCTTGTGAGCGACTTGCTTCTCGGAACATGGGAAGGGCGAAACTAAAAGGATCCAAGTGAATGACGTAAAGCGACGATGTGACGAATTCACGGAAAAGCATTTTCAGGCTCGTCTCTCTTGAAGCGGTTAAGATCCATCCCAACCAAACGTTTAATCGAGAAAAGTGGCATCAACATATGTACATATAAGAAAAGCGGGCTCCGACTACAAGCGGGAGAGACGCTAAAGACTCGAAAGAACAAGAAGGGGCTCTTCTCCCCAAAAGCGTCCCAATGGGTAGTTTCACAGTTTGATGGGAGATACCATTCACGACACGAATCTAACTAACTTACAATCAACAGGTGGTAGATGGAGCCATGTGGAAGATTAGGGTTATGAAGAAACCCCCGTAGAACTCACAAGCTGCGTTTTTAAGTCAAAAAAGGTTTCAAACGCGATGCTACAGTATCCATACATAGTTTTGTGGCTTGTACTTAAAAACTTTCTCATCGTATTGACGGTTAAGCAGTTCTTTTACTCCGGTCACTGTTCCGACAATCCAGAAAACCAATTATAGTTGGAACTGTGCGCATCTTCTCTTCCCTTCCGCAATCCCCTAATAGAATCTCAGCAAAACTGCCTCTTTTTGAGGAGAACCTTTCTAAGGCCTTGCGCGGGGTGGTATGTAGGCAATCTTCTCAGAAAGAGCACCGAGTCTTCCAAAATTAGATTTATCGCTTACTCAGCAAAGACAAAATAGGTGTAGTTGACTTTATCATGTATCCGGCTCCAAAGAGTAACTGCTGCGAGCTACTAGCAGGACAAATACTCATTTAAACGACCTTTCATGACATGAAGCCTAGTTTCATCTGCATTCTCTTTAGATGACGGAGGTCACCATGCAGTGAATGTAACGCAGTTTCAGGATCCGCTCAATTTTTTTCTTACATCTGGTTGTAACAATTGTTAGCGGTTAGTTCAACTGCTTTATAACTGTTTGTTTGTTATTTATATAAATCATTCCGTTTTTGAAATGACGAATTTTGCTGAAAAATGCGGCTGATTTTTGGTTCCGAAGCATGGAATCTTTGTTGACGTTATTTTATAACGTGTCATGAAATGGCGAGAATGGGCATAATTCCTTTCCCAAACAAAATCACGTTGCCTTTCTATGGATGATCAAATTGGGTCATTAGAAAACGGCAAACGCTTTTCCAAGCATGGCAGAGCTCCTATTGTAGCTCATCAGTTTTGCTATCTCACAAAACAAAAGGGCTGAACCTCCACAAATGAAGCGGACTGAGCTTTTGGTGGTAGTTTCTATAGTGTACAAAAGGCAAACTGAACCATTTCTATCAACCACGTGATGGGATTCCTCCCACATATACCCGATGATAAAACTTTTTTCTCATCACAAAATGCTTTTATATGTGATTCATTGATATGTTTTATTCACACGTGTATATGTATGTCTGCCATTGCGTTCACAACTTCTCACGCTTTGAAAATCAAACATTTTTGGTAGCTATTGATCAGTTGATTGCATTCGAATGATACGTCATGCCGTTCAAATATAGTGGGAGTCCCTCTTTCCACAGGACAGTCGTGGTGTGCGGCAAGTGCCACACTATCACACACGCACGGTCAAGGGTTAGAAATGGCCCGGGCCAAAAAAAAACCTTACATCCTCCCGAGTTCATTCATTTAGTACCAGACTGTCTAGGAGAATAAAAGCACTGCATTGTAAATTACATGCACATCAAATGGGCCACTAATATTCTGAAAGCAAGTCGGATGCGGAGGCCCATCCTTCAAATGGGATCAATCAACGTCCGAAGACTTGATCCTCCACAAATATTTTCAGAGACGTACTTACCTACTGCTACCTAGCGATATCAGCCATCTGGCAAAATTTTGAGTTTCAAAGTTCTCGGCATCAATCGATCCCATCCCCGAAAGTGTCAGTATTCCATGTCTAATCAGCCTGCCAAATTTAATGGTTTTGGCGCAGTGGGCTGAATAT